AGCACGCCTTGAAAGTATAAGTCCTCTGTTTATCACTTTTTAAAAACGCCCATTTGAATTTAATACAAGGTGTAGGCAAGCCCTGGAACGGAAAGTTTTCTGCCCCAGAATTTTGCCTCTAATCCAAAATAAAACGGCACAGAACATACCCATGACCTATAATAGAGATTTCTGTCAATAGAACCCCAAAACAACCTGAATTTGAACACTCAAAAACATGAAGTAAAACACAAAAAATGACAAAAAAATTGAAACTCTTGGATTACCTTCCAAGTAGTGCCTCTATTTAACGTCTATGGCCAAACCAAAAGTACTTTAACAATTTATGTTGAAACGGGGTCAAGCAAATTAACCTCCTCCACAGTGCCAATTTCTGAAACATCAATAAACGGCTTGAGACGACGACCATTAACTTTAAAACATTTGTTAGTCTCTAAACTGTTAATTCAACTGCACCATTGGAAAAAACGTGGACAACAACATACGGTCCAATTTATCGGGACCGCAACTTTTCTCGCATAAATTTCAACCGAGAGTTGAATAGAAGTACCTTTTGACCTATAGAGAATTGCTTATTATACAATAGTTTATCATGGATGAATTTTGTGGGTTCTTGTAAAGTTGGGCATTGTCGTAAGCCTCCAAACGGATTTTTTCCAACTCTTGAAATTGGAACTTCCTTTCCTTGCCATCTCTATCCGCGTTCAAATTGTACTACTTAACTGTCCAAAACGCACGATACTCAGGTGCAACAGGTAAATTACACATCTTACCATAAACTAACCTGTATGAAGACATTTCGATTGGCGTTTTATACGCCGTGCGATATGCCCACAATGCATCATCCTATCGGGTACTCCAATCCTTGCGATTTAGGTTGACTGTTTTCTTCAAAATATTCTTAATCTCGCGATTAGAGATTTCAACTTACCCGTTGGTTTGCGGGTAGTAGGTAGTACCCACTCGATGGTGAACTCTATACTTACGCATCAGTGCTTCAATGGTATGATTGCAGAAATGAGTACTTTGATCACTGATGATTGCGCTTGGCACACCAAACCTACTAAAAATGTTGGACATAAGAAATCCTGCACCAACTCGTGAATCATTAGTTCGGGTAGCCTTTGTTTCTACCTATTTCGACACATAGTCTACGGGTAAAATAATATAAAAACAACCAAAAAAACTGGAAAACAGTCCCATGAAATCCATACCCTAGACATCAAAGATTTCACAGAATAACATAGGCACCTGAAGCATTTCATCCCAGTGAAATAAACTCCCAAACTTTTGGCATTTTTCATATCTTTTTTGCAAAACAAGAAAGCATCACGAAACAGAATTTGCCAATAAAAATTACAATCAAATATTTTTCGAGCAGTTCTTTTAGAATCAAAGTGACCACCATAGATATAACTATGACAATGAGTAAGTATAAAGGGAATTTCTTCATTGGAAACACATCGATAAATGATCTGGTCCGAATCTATTTTTCACAAATAGGGCTTATCCCAAATGTAATATCGAAAGTTCTGTATTATTTTATCCTTCTTATTATTATTCATACCATTTTAAAATTTGTGACTAACCAGAAAGTTGACAATATCAGCTTATCAAGGTTCCTTACCTCTAAGTTGAAATAAGTGTTCGTCTAGAAATACCTCGGATATGGGCACTTCCTCTTCTTCTCGAATTATCGGCTCAAATGGCTTGTCACTGAATTATCCACTCATTTTCGATCTTTGATTTTCCAATCATATTCTTGCAACAGGAGTATCCAACAAATGAGTCTTGGCTTGGACTTCTTCTTCGTCGAGAGGTATTTCAAGGCTGTATGATCAGAGAAAATTGTTACTTTCAATCTCAACAAATACGATCGAAATTTCTCAAAAGCGAAAACAATCGTTAAGAGCTCCTCCTCCGTGGTGGTGTAGTTGTATTGCGCTGGCGATAGCATTTTTGATGCATAATAAATGACATGGCTACACTTCTCATTTCTCTGACCGAGTACAACTCCCACAGCATACTGACTGGCATCAGACATAAGCTCGAACGGCAGGCTCCAATCCAGAGGTTGAATGATTGGTGTCGTGGTCAACATGCTTTTTAGTTTATCAAAGGACACTTTGCAAGCATCTCCAAAATCAAATGGTGCCTTCTTTTGAAGTAGTCGAGACAATGACTGTGCAATTCATGAGAAATCCTTGATAAATCACCTGTAAAAACCTGTATGCCCAAGAAAACTACGAATCTCCTTGACATTTGTGGGATAAGGTAAGCTAGTAATCAAATCAACCTTTACTTTATCAATTTCAATACCCCTAGACGAAACAACATGGCCCAAAACTATACCCTCCTTAACCATAAAATGACATCGCTGCCAAACTTTGTTAAATGATGCAAGCATTAATCAAAAGAATCACCATAAATAGTGAAATCATCCATGAATATTTCTATATAATTTTCAATCATGTCAGAAAACAAAACTCATCATGCATCTTTGAATATTCTTGGAGCATTACACAACCCGAAAGGCAAACGCCGATAAGCAAAAGTGCCAAACGGGCAAATGAAAGTGATTTTGTGTTGGTCCTTTTGGGCAACAATAATTTGATAGTACCTAGAGTATCCATCAAGAAAGCAAAAGAAATACTTACCTGTCAATCTCTCGGGCATCTCATCGATAAACGGTAATGAAAAATGGTCTTTCCTTGTGGCAGCATTCAACTTTTTGAAGTCTATACACATTCTCCACCTATTTTGGAGTTCATTGGTACCAACTCATTCTTCTCATTCCGCACAAGTGTAATGCCGATTTTTTTAGGGACAACATGCACTGGACTTACCCACTCACTATCGGAGATAGAAAAAATAATTTCTAACTCCAATAGCTTGAGAATCTCCTTCATTACCACCTCTTTCATGGCTGGATTAAGCTTCCTCTAACGTTCCCTTACCGATTTTGCATCTGACCCAAGTAGAATATGGTGCATGCAAACGGATGTATTTATACCTTTAATATCTGTCAACATCCGTCTAATTGCTAGTTTAAACTCCCGAAAAACTTGTAAGAGTTTTTCTTCTTGTACTACTGTCAGATAACTTGTAATGATGACCGGCAGAGTGTCATGATCTCTCAAGTAAGCATACTTTAAATTCTTTGGTAATTCTTTCAATTCCAACTCCGGTGCCTGTTCAACAGAGGGCAAAATTCTCTCATTAGAAGTAAACAATGGTAAAAATGAGTCTACTGACCTGCCAAAAATGTAGGAAGTGAATGAAATGACATAATTGTTTCTACAGTATCCTCATCATCCATGTTTTCTACTTCCTCATTCGTCTTGCTCTGTTGTAACACGAATTTCAACTTGTCCTTCATAAAATTCTGCTCAAAGTCATCTTGCACAATTGAATTAGTGAGACAAACATAATTAACAGACTCAATATCATCCGAATATTTCATTGCATAAAAAATGTTTAAAATAATTGTCTCCTCGTCAAATTTTACAGAAAGGGTACCTTCATGCACATCTATCTTGGTTCTGGCCGTACTCATGAATGGTCTATCCAGAAGAAGTACAGCTGAGTTAGCTAAGTTAGCTGAGTCATCATCATTCATGTCAACAATGTAGAAGTCAGTGGGAAAGATAAACTCGTTAACTTTCACTAGCATGTCTTCCACTACACCCTCAGGGTAAACATTTGACCTATCGGTTAGTTAAATTATTACCCTTGTATCTTTTAGAGGTCCTAAATTTAAGAGCCTAAATATTGACAAAGGCATGACGTTAATAGATACCTCGAGGTCAAACATACCTTTTTCTATCCTTTTCTGGCCTATGATGCATGGTATAGTGAACATACCTGGATCCCTGCATTTTTGTGGCAATTTCCTTTGAAGGACTGCTGACACATTCTCACCGACCTTTATTTTATCTTGAACATTCAACTTGTACCGGTTAGCGCACAACCCTTTAGAAACTTTACATATTTTGGTAATTACCGAATCGCATCAAGCAAAAGAATGTTGATTTCCACTTTTCGAAAGGTGTCCAAAGTCTCCTGCTCTGACTCCTCTTTCTTGGCTATAGCCAACCTATCAGGAAAATGTGGGTTAATTTCATCGATTTTAGGAACATCTGGCGGGGTGCTTACCTTTTCTTTCTCAAACTCCCCATACACTTGTTCATCTTCCCCTCTCGCTGCTTCCGATTTTGAGGATTGCACCTCCTTGCCAGTTCGTAGAAGTATTGCAATTGTATTCTCCTTGGGATTGGGAATTACCTGAGATAGTAGCTTTCCTTTACCATTCTCAAAGCTGCTCATTGAAGACGCCAGTTGTGACATTTGCGTCTCCAAATTTCGAATGCTAGCGCGAGTCTCCTGTTGAAATCTCTGCGAGTCTTGCTGCATTTGACAAGTGGTATTGGCTAGTGATTTGATCATATCTTCAAGGAACATCCCCGAATCAGACGCGGATGGTTGCTGAACTGATAGTCACTGCTAGAATGGTTGTTGAAAATCCGAGGGTCTTGGAGCATAACTGAAATTGGGGTACGTAGCTCCGCCACCCTGGGTTGTGTATGGGTGCATACGGGTCATTTCTTCTTTAGGGAGGTCCAGGCAGACCTCCCATGGGGCTGGCTTGCTCGTGAGGGTTTTCTTGAAGGGTCAGGCATATATCGGTCGCATGTTCAGGTGCAACACATATCCCACATGCTTTAGCTACTTGTACTTGTCCTATCGCTATTTGACGAACCAACGTAGTAAGTTCCGTTAATCTATTTGCAAGGTCAGAATGATTTACTTTATTTACTCTTCTAGTCACTCCCTCAGATCTGACTCCAAACTGCTGAAAGTTCTCGGCCATGTTCGAGATCAGCCGTTTGGCTTCATCTGTTGTCTTATTTACTAAGGCACCACCACTCGCTGCATCCACCATGCTTCTATCCATAGTTAACAGTCCCTCGTAAAAATACTGGATCAACAACTGGTCAGGGATCTAATGGTGAGGGCAGTTGACACGCAGCTATTTGAACCGCTTCCAGTATTCATAGAGAATTTCTCCATTGGCCTGCCTAACTCCACATATCTCCTTTCTGATGTTGATGGCCCTAGAGGTTGGAAAGAATTTCTCAAGGAATTGCCATTTCAATCCTTCCCAAGTAGTAATGGACCCCGATGACAAGTAAAACAACCAGTCCTTCGCCTTGTCGCTAAGGAGAAATGAAATGCACGCGGCTTGATTTGTTCTTTCGTAACTCCCTGAAGTTTCATGGTTGAACATATTACATAGAATTCCTTCAAGTACTTGTGTGGATTCTCACCTACAATACCACGAAAAGTAGGCAATAAATGAATCAACCCAGATTTTAATTCAAAAGCCTTCTTAGTGTCAGGATACGTGATGCACAGAGGCTGTTGGTTAACATTCGGGATTGCCAGCTCCCTCAAAGTCCTTTAGACTGCCATTGTTTCGTTGGGTCCAGGCAAGTTTGTTTCCAGTTCAACTGATGAATCACTTAAGTCCGAGGTTCGTTCAAGTCCAGAAGGTATTGCGGCTGAAGCTTGTTGTTTTTGCCACTTAGTCTCCTTCGTCAACCTCTTTGCTGTTTTCTCGATCTCTGGGTTAAATTCAAGTCTTCCTGTACGGGATGATCGAGGCATAAAATAGAAGCTAAACAAGCCTACGCAATAAATCACTTCAAACAACAACTCCCCGGCAACGGCGCCAAAATTTGGTGGCTGTCAAACTATCAAAAATAAAATTTATATCAAGACCTACTCCCAAAACTAAACGAGTATAGTAGTGAGTAGGGCCATCTTCTTAGGGAACCGGTAGATTTATTACACACAGAGAATTTGGGAGGTTTTAGAAAGGAAGACAAAAAGATCAAATTGAAGATGTAAGAGTACTGAATTTTCAATGACAAGAAAGTGCAGTAGCTAAAGAATATAATAAACAATTAATTAACACAACCTAGTCCAGGAAATAATTTCGGCACCGGTTCACGCAATTGATCATAGATACCAAGAATAATTCACAAGCTCGCAAATAAATTAGTTCTAGCAATTTAGCAACTGCCAAACTACCAATCTCTCTTTAATTTTACGGTAGTCCAGAGACACTCTTAAACTACTCCCTTGTAAAATAGATAACCCCAGAGATACTCGAAAGATTTAATCTATTCACAACTTTAGGAATTAGAAAGACCCAATTCTAGTTAACAAACATACATGTGAGTTCATTTAAACTAGATTAACTATTCCTACGACACAGATTAGACTGCTTGCGAGGCAATGAAATTGTGCCATTTGTCACTAATTTAAAACAATCAAGTGACACGCACCCCTTGTCCTAATTGGCAGTATACTATTCAGACAATAGAATAACTAGCCACATTAATCTAATAAACCCAAACAATAATAGACTATTGAAACAAAGGATAATTAAATACTCACGAATGCCGAATTTAGAACAATTAAAAAGACCTCACAATTGTCCATGCACCGGGTCTTGATTATTCTTCAACTAGATAAAGGCGGCTAGCCTTGCCTTATAACGATGATGCAATTGACAGTTTTAATGGAATTGAATTTAGTTGATGAAAAAAGTAAGAAAAACGGTACAACCACTGGTCCCTAGTTTTCGTTCAAAAGGAGAAGACAAAGCTCCAAAGACAAAAGATACCTAATCCTAGTATATTGCTGTCCTATTTATAGTTTCGCCACCGCCTCCACTTTTGTTAAACAAGTGCTTGTTTTTTTTTTTTGTAAGGAATCCTTTTTCCTTATTTTTCTCCTTACTTTGTTGCCAAAAGGTTTCCTGAAGATGTCTCCTAATCCCATGCAACTTCGAAATACACTTTCCAATAATAGTAGCAAGCTCCTAGGGATAAGTCCCGCAGTCCGTCTCTTGGACGTCACTTTGCAATCTCTGATGTGGGCACACTCTGAAATGAATAGTCTTTTGGAAATTGACCTCTTTTCATCACTTTCGACATCAATTGCTTGCAACTGGCACAAACACCAATTATGAGCAGAAACCCATTACTTCACAAATAAGTGGCCAAAATTGAGAGCAAATACCATCAAATAAACTGCACAATTATCTCACTATCAATAGTATTGTTAGATTTTATTTTTTTTTAAATTTCTCTTAATAAAAAAGTTTTAATTTCTCTTAATTGTAGAATTAGTTTTAAGAGACACTACAAACTTCACATATATATATATATATATATAGATAATAACACGTAAAAATCACCAATTACCTTCAATCAGATCAGAAGAAGACCGATACTGTGGCATCCATGGCATATATGACAGTACTAAATGAGTTTTTATCGAGTTAAGCATTATTAATTCTTAAACCATTCTGAACCAGTATGTGACAAGACTAGGTGCCAAGAACATTACATAATTAATCAACATTATTGATTTCCATTTATGAAACTTGCAAGAAATTGAGCAACATGTTGAGAAGTACAAAGATTTAACATCATTGTTCATTTGGATAAATACTCATCCTGGTAAAAACCTCTGACATAATTGTCTAAGCTGTTGTCACAAAGGAGATTATAAACTCCTTCACAACCTCACAAAGGACTTTAGTTTTGGCAGACTCAAACATGTCAATTCCATGATAACCTCCTTCAACAAAATTAGTCACCACGGGAACACCCTTGCCTTCTAACATTTTGGCAATCTCAAATTGGCGATCAAACAATGCATCATTTTCATATCCTGCCATTAAAATCTTCCATCCTAAAGCTTTAATCTGATCGAATTGTCCAGGTTTGATGCTCAAAACTGGATTAGAAAATTCATGATCTCGGTCAGCACCTACGGGCAATGAAAGTTCCCACAAGACATCAGTAACACAGGGCGGTATAAACGTGTCATTCAGAGCCCTCAACTCCGATTCTGTCCTCTTGTTGCCACCAAAAAATGCTTGGTGCAAAATCAACCCTTTAATATTCAAAGGCTTAAGATCATCAACACATGAAGATGCACTCAAACCAACATGATAGGCAATGTTTCCCCCTGAACTGCTGCCCATGAGGAAACTGTTTGATAAATCTGCATACTTTTCCAACCATTCGTCTTGTGAATTCTTGATCCAGTGCAAAGCTTCCAAGCAATCTTCGTAGGCTGCCGGCAGCCTGTGCTCCGGAGCAAGACGATGCTCGATTGACACGACTACAAACGGGACCTCAGTAGCTAAAGCTCTATGAAAATCATCAAAACCGGTCGTGGCCACGCTGCAAATCACGAATCCTCCACTGTGAAAGTAAATCAGGAGCGGAAGTTTCCTGCCTGGGAAGGATTCGAGTGCTTCTTTCGGTAGGAATATACGGGCACCAGTGTTCTTGGATTGGTTAATGGGGACATCTTTGACGAGAAGGATAGGGCTGCCATCATAGGAGGAGACGGGTGTTTTTGGATGTTCAAATTGACGCGTGACTGAGCCGTCGGGGTTCCGGACTAAGCCCATATGGCCATAGGGATCAGCATGAGGATCAGCGAATGAAATTGCTGCAATTGGATCAGCCATAAGAGATGAGAATTTTGACTGCCTTTTGGTGTCAGCTTTGGAGCCAGCATACATGAGTTTGACGGTATTTGAAGACTTGGAAGTGCACAGAAAGCAAGGTTAAAGGGTCATTTCGCTAGTTCCTTGAAATTCATACGTTGCCGCACGTTGTTTATCAACATAATTTAGTACGTCATGAGCTAGGTTGAAAAAGCAGACACAAGAAGCTCATAAAAGCGCAAGAAAATGACGTCTGAATTATCTTCTTGATGGGTCCAATTTTCTTCTTTCTTTTAATTGGTTTATACTTGGATATATCCAGCCAACTACCTTTGCGTTCAATTTAATTGCATAGAGGATTTTTTGTCCAACATAGGGGTATGGACGACGCGAGCCGCTTGGTCAACAACTTAGCAAACTCAATCTACTCATTCTGCGTAACTAGTTGAATTCAAGCATCAGTAGTAATTACTCGAACACTCAGGAGGGGGTTTGGGTTAGGTAGTTAAGTTCCTGGGTTGCCTTCAAGAGTTGTCGACTTTTGGAAGATAATCTGGAATTAGGTTTAATTCTTTAACAAAAAGTCATTACTGAAGTTGAAAAAAGTAAGTACTCGAACACTCAACCAGTTTAATCAAGTATTTCTATTATTTATATATTATATATTTTAATTATAGAATGACTATTATGGGTCAACATTTTAATAAATTTTCATGAAGTAATATTCAGTAATAAAAATGATGAATGATAAAATAATAATCTGATAAATCTAAAATATAAAATCTTAAAAACAAGAGAAGAAAAACTCGAGCTCGTGTAGCTCGAGTTTGATATGGCTTGCAATTTATGCAAACTCAAACAAGGCGAGTCCGATCTTAATTTCTATTATGTCGATTCGAGTTTAAGTCCAAATTTATATACTCGTTCGAATTCGAGTTCAATTTTAAGTTCAAATAGCACTGATAGTGGTAGAGTTCGAGTTTGAATATGGTACAACTCGAATTCAACTCGACTCGATAGACCTTACTCCAACATTGTCTCACCTTTCATTATATTGTCATTTATTATTCACAAACATCTTATTTTTGAATTTTTTTTGTTTCCTTAAATTCTAATATCTAATAGAAGGATAAAAAAATTCAAATGCAACAAATTAAAATAACACTATATAATAGAAAACAAAAAATAAAATAAAAATTTCACAAAAAATCATAAAAGTTTCATCTCACTTTAGTCTTTAAGCTTTGAGCATCACTGTGGCCCCAGAAATGAGTATGATTGCGGTCCGAGGAACCACTTGCTGTGCTCTGACACCGTTCGATGCTCAGTGCTTTGTCTTATGATGATAGAACAGGGGGCCTAGCGCCCGCAGCCTGGCGATTGTTTAAATGTGAAATTAATGTGGCAAAAGGTAATTACTGATATTATATGTAATGCGTGATGTGATATCAAATTTTGTAAGGGATAATTTCAGAAACCTCCCCTGAGGTTTCATAAAATATCACTTAGCTCCCTTGAGGTTTTCAAAATCTCACTTAGCACCCTTCAAATTGACATTTGGGTAACATTGTCAACCCTTCTAACCAAAAGTAATACTAGAAAATTCATGTTTGAAGAGAGAGAGTATTTTAGTGCCCTTAATACCCTTAGGCTATAAAAAATGAATATTTTACAAACCAAGAAAAAAAATTACTAAATTGGTATCATATTAACAATAAGGGGATGAAAGTTGATAAGGATGTAAAAAGAAATTGTAAAGAGAAATTGTAAAAGCAAATACTATTTTTAAAGCATTTTTACAAATAAAACCCTCCATAATGTTGAAGGCAATTAGCATGTAAAAGTCATACATTTGAGCAAAGAAACTCAATAATAGATGAAATTCAATTTCAACGTCATATAGAGAATTTACTCAAAATAGACCGACTTTTTTATAGGTGTGAAATATGAAATTTTTTATTCTAAAAATAAAAGTCAAATTTTGAAAAATCGCAATTCGAAGCTTCAATTACTTCATTTCTCTAACGCTCTAAATGAATAGGAACAAATAAATAAATAAATATAGTTGTGAAACACAATAAACAGGAAAAAAAGAACCTACAGCTATCCTTCTCCAAATGCATTGAATATTACATTGGCATTTGCAATTCAATTATAGATATACATATATATATATATATATATATATGTATGTATATGTGTGTGTCTATATATAGGCCTGTCAATGGTCCGAGTCTAGACCCGGATCCGTCAATTTTTTACGGGTCCGGTAGGGATATAATTCCATTACCCGGACCCGAATCCGGATCCGTTTTGTCAAACAAAAAAAGAGATCGGATATGGAATACATCATTCCGGCCCGTATTTGACCCGTATCCGAATATAAAATAGATATATATATACCAATAATATATCCCAAATTTATACCCCAAATTTACTTCTATACCCCAAAGGCCCAAACAACTAAATATTATCCACGGACATGCAGAGCCTTTGGCATAAACAACACCTGTTGCAAAAGCATGAATTTGAATCTTACAAAAAGTATTTATCAATGCTAAACATTATATTTAGAATATGTTAATTAACACATGCAATATAGTCCAGTTAAGACTTTAACCAAGTGACAACATTGAAATAATACTTGTTGGACAAAATTAAATTGACCTTTCTTAATAAAAACAAAGTAGTACTTTTTCTAATTTTGTTGTAAAATAGGTTTCAGCTATTTTTTCGGGTAGACCCGGACCCGAATCCGGATTCGGGTAGATCCGTCGGATCCGGATCCGAAACATAGAGTAGAAGACCCGTCAAGTAAACGGGCCGGATATGGAACCAGTATAGTATAATGGGTCCGGGTCCGGAATAATGAATTCCGGCTCGGATTCGACCCGTTGACAGGTCTATATATATCTATATATATATATATATATATATATATATATATGAATATATGTATGTATAAACATTGTTAAAGAAAAGCAAGAAATTTAGAGAAAGAAAAACAAGTTTATAAAATTTAAATATGAGAGTATTATTGACAATTCTTCACCTTTGATATTGGCATATGGTCCCACTATCACTCCAAGGACTCTAAGTGAGATTTTGAAAAGTTCAAAGGAGCTAGGTGATATTTAATGAAACCCTCAGGGGAGGTTTCTGAAATTATCTCATTTTGTAATCCATCAGAATAATGCAAAGGATAAAATACATCTTACCCCTGTGGTTTAACAATTTTTCACATAACTCCCCTATAGTTCGAAAGCTATATATAACCCTCTCATAATTTGGATTAAAGTGTTAAAATAATAGAAATGATCATTTGTAATGAAACCCATGAAAATATTGAAATTACCCTTATTTAAAAACTAAAATGCTTGAAGTTATCAAAATATATAAACATAACATATATGACACTTTGACCTTATACGATTTTATGTTTTACCATATAATCTCCTTATAATTTAGTGATTTATCATATAAACTCCTGTAATTAATAAATAATTTCAACTTTACATAGGGATACTTTTGATATTTTAGTTGACTTCATTATGAATGCAAATTCCATTATTTTCACACTTTAATCTAAATTATAACGGAGTTCTGTATAGTTTTAAAAATCATGGGAGATTATATGAAAAAGTGCTAAACCACATGGGGATAAAGTGTATTTTGCCCTAATGCGAATGATATAGTGTTGTTTGGTTGCAGCTTACGGGATTATTATATCAACATTGGAAACTGAAAACTAGACTATGAAAACTGAAGATTGAAATTTAAGTGCTAAAACATTTAGGTTGTGTTTGGATTGAGGGATCAGATCAAGGGTTTAAATCCTCTCGAATCCCTCTAGTTATTTATATTATTGATTAAGTATTTGAATTTGAAAATTACAAATTATTCTAGTATTTAAAATATATTTTAATAATTGATATATTGGATGGTTAAATGCCTATTAAACAATCCAAACAACTAGCGCCATTTAGATGGATTTTAAATTCTTCATCAAATTCATTAATTCAAATGAATATTGAATTTACAATGTCATATCTATTATATCCATCTGATAATCAGCTAAACTTGAATGCTGAATTTAAGTGTTCTATTCTATGAATATTATTTATTTAATATTGATATTATTACTTTGTTTGTTAAATTACTATGTTAGATTTTTTTTGAATTCTAACTATATTCGAATACAGAATATGTGCATGCAGGAGAGAGATGGGGAGTATGCGTGAAGGAAAAATGTGCTTGTGAAGAAGGGCTCCACTTGGATACAAAATGCTACGAGCTTTTAATTTTTTTACTTTAAATGCCACGAGTTTGCATGAAATAGGTTTTCTTACGCTATATAAATCAAATTACAAATGGACCCTAAAATAGATGATCGAAATTGCTCAACCCAAAACATAAGTATGGTAATTGACAGGTGTCGAACTTGTGTAATAATAATTACCTACTCAATAAAAATATAAATTTTATATATAGTGGTGAGTATGGTCGAATTCATAGGGACTGAAAATAATTTATTTCTTTTAGAGTCCAGAGATTGGGGTTTTTATAAAAATAATTAATTAACTAAATAAAAGCAACTCAAGAAAATAAATAGGAATTAATCAACAATAGATACGACTCTGGTCAAAAGTGCAACTTTTCAGACATGATTCATTCAATTGATCATCGATGCAAAGATAATTCAATTACTCATTAATAAATTGGTTATAGTTATCATACACGCGATAAACAACCAACTTTTCCTTACTTTTTCGATAGTCAAGTTATAACAGTTAACTATTTTCCTAACCAAGAAGTAACCCTATGTACGACTAAAGGATTTACTTCTTCGACTGCATTAAGAATTAGAAAAGTCCAATCCTAACCAACAAACAAACTATAGGGGTTTGTTTAAATTAGATCGTATATTTTCCTAACATAGGACCAATCATGCTAGTTGTCACTGGTATTAATCGATTAAATAATTACGGATTTAATCGATTAATTTAGCAGTAGATTATTAGGTTAATTCGAATATCAGGCTCTTGACATTCAAATAACAAAACAACCATAAGAAGTTAAACTAGAAAACGTATGAATACCAGTGAATAAAAGAAATGCATAAAATTAATTTGATCTCACAAATGTTTGGAATCGCGTTTTCAAGTTGGCCTTCGACTAGAAATAGAAATCTAATTCATCTCTGTTGAGAAAATCCCACGCAATTCTATTGAAGGAAATTGCATAAACATTTAACCAAAAGGAAAAAAAGAAAAATAGCGAAAGGAAAAGACGAAGAGAAAAGCCAAGCGGCCCTTTCTTTTCTTGTTCACAATCCGAATGAATCTTCTCATACTTATTCGGTTTCTATCAAGTCCTAATATTTCGGCCGTCTATTAGCCAACCAAAAATTGAATTTTAATTGCAAAAGGAAACTTCTCCGACTAATGCTAATTGTTTCCTAATATAATATCTAAAAAAATGATAATTTCCTAATCTTTCGTCAATAATCCACGTAGACTCCATCTTGAATTAGAAAACTCTTGAAAAATCCCATTTTTTTCACTTTTTTACTCCACCTTCCTACAATTAGCACCAAATACCAAATATAAGTAGAATCTATCAATTAATACAATATTTGGCTAGAATAAAAGAAAAAATGATCATAACTTAAATGACAATTTCACACCCTATCAGTAATCCATGGCCTTTTTAAGGTTTTTGAAAGCAGCATTTGGTTGAAGATTTAATCTTGTTTAAAAATTTTTCTTTCAGCAAAAAAGAGGTGAGATTTCAGAACTGGGGATGAAACAGGATATTAGAACCCAAAACCTCTATAATCCTAAAAATATAATCCTCTCCCACAAGCATTTTATATAAAGCTTAATGCATAGTCTATCAATTTAAATTATAGTTTCTTAATTTTGGTTTAGTGAAGTTTTCAAGTCAAGCACCGGATACCACCAATTGCCTCCAAACAGAAAACCAATCCACCGTAGCATCCATGCCCATAGTAATTAAATGACGTTCATAAATCAAGTTAATCATTATTAATTCTTATACCATTCATTATGAACCAATAACGATTTCATGCACCACAGCCCTCGTGCCAAGAACATCACAAAATTAATCAACAATAAATTTTCATTTATGAAAATTGACAAAAGAAATTAAACAGTATTTTGAGAAGTACAAGATTAAACATCGTTGCTAACATTAGTTTTCTAAGCTGCTGTTACAAAGGAGATCATAAACTCTTTGACAACCTGACACAGGACCTTAAGTTTAGGAGGCTCAAAACCATCAATACCATGATAGCCTCCTTGTGCAAACTTAGCCGCTAAAGGTACACCCTCGTCTTCCAACATCTTTACAAGCTCAACTTGACGATCAAACAATGGATCACCATCATAGCCAGTCACCAAAATCTTCCATCCCAAATCTTTAATATGATCGAATTGTCCGGGTTTGATGCTCAATACTGGATTGCAAAATCCATGGTCTCGGTCAGCGCCTACGGGCAATGAAAGTTCCCACATGATGTCACTAACACATGGTGGTAAAATCTTGTCATTTACAGCCCTTAACTCCGAATCCGTCCTCTTGTTGCCACCAAAGAATGGTTGGTGCAAAATCACGCCTTTAATGTTCAAAGGCTGAAGATCATCAGCAGAAGGAGGTGCACTAAGACCAACATGATAGGCTATGTTTCCTCCTGCACTAGTGCCCATGAGGAAACTGTTTGATAAATCTGCATACTTTGTCAACCACTCGTCTTGAGAATTCTTGATCCAGTGCAAAGCTTGGAGGCAATCTTCATAGGCTGCCGGCAGCTTATGCTCCGGTGCATTTCGATACTCGATTGATACGAGGATAACTGGGATTTCAGTGGTAAAAGTTCTATAGAAAACGTCAAGAAAGTGCGTGGCCGCACTGCAAATTACAAATCCTCCACCACGAATGTAGATCAGGAGAGGAAGTGTCCTGCTCGGAGATGAGTCAACTAATTCTTTTGGAAGGAATATGCGGACCCCATTGTTTTTGGCTTGGTTAATGGAGATGTCTTTAACAAGAAGACTGGAACTGCCATCATAGGAAGAGACAGGTGTTTCTGGATACTCAAATTGACGGGTGACTGAGCCATCAGCGTTCCGGACCAAGCCCAGATAGCCATAGGGATCAGCATTAGGATCAGCTAGTACAAAAACTGCCGCAGTTTGATCAGCCATTGGTTAATTCGTGCCAAGAAAATTGGGTTTTGAAATTTTGATAAAGACTTTTACTGCCTTTTGGTTAAGCGAGTAGCTTTGTGGATGTGGAGCTAACATTTATAAGGGCAAAGATAATTGAAGACTTGAAGTGTAAAGAAAGTCACAAATATCGAAGGCCACATTTCGTTGTTTCGTGGGAAGTTCATATATTGATACATGTTGTTTATACGTTATAGTACATGCTTCGGTGGGTTGCCAGAAATAAGACAATAAAAAATGTGCAAGTCTTGAATAGAAAATGATGTATGACTTGTCTTGGGTTATGTTTTTTCTTGTTTAATTGGGCTAGACAATTTGTCTTGTGTAACAGCACATAATATTGTCCAGCTAGCTGGCTGAATTTTTATAAGAGGATTTTGTGTTAAATTCAACATGATAAATAGGAGAGTAAGGATGCGTTTGATAAAAATGAAATTTGAAATCTAAAATTTGAAATCTAAATCCATTAAATTATTGAATTATTAAGTATTAAATATAATGCATTTGAATGCATATCATATTCAATGATAAGTGAATAGTTTATCACTTAATTTTAGGAGCAAGTTTTGCCTAAGAAATTCAGTGTCACTTAATTAATTCAGATGTTCAATTTTTGGTTATCAAATGATCTGAATATATTAAGATCTAAATTCATTAAATTTAAGTGTTGAATTGGATTATTAAATAGGGTCTAGAATGCTTAGACGGAGCAGTGGTTGCTTTTGCTTAATTACTTTACCGGCCTTTTCACCTACTGCCAAAAATATTACTAAAAAACATGAAAAATAATTAGCATGTTCTAAAGTTAAATTCTACAGTTCTTCGGGTTCAGACTTCGAAGTTTTTAACATCTACCAAGCACCAAGCTTTCATGAAAATATATAGAAATGATTGCTATTATAAAGAGGTCGCTTACAAAAAACGATTTTAAAATATGCTTAAATAATAAACACAAATATGGAACACCTTTAAACAAAAAAGCCAAATCTATCTTTATCTACTTTAAATCCACACTTTTCATTTGTAGATCTTTAAACATAAAAAGAATGGGAGAATTTCAGAAACCTCCCTTGAGATTTTTGATAATTTCAAAAAGAATGGAAGAATTTCAGAAACCTCCCTTAAGGTTTTCAAAATTACACCTACCTACCTTAATAATTTAAAATGACAATACTAACCTTAATATTTTAATAAAAACTCTCTTGTTGCCATGTTTATACAAAGGATGTATTTTATAATTTTTTCTTTTTTCTTCTTATTCATTTCTCTTATATTTCATTAGAAGTATAGAAGAACTATCAATATTTTCGCTAATATCTATCCAGATCAAACGTTAAACTGGTAATTTTTTATGACTTTTGATATCATCCAATTTTTTTGTAGCTCTTTTTTTTTATCAAAATCAAGAATAAGTCAATAATAATTAAAAATAAATGACCGAAAATCAGTACAAACTATGGTAGTTCCATCACTAAACTAGTTCGTAAACTTTTATTAAAAAAATAGTCCATAAACTTAAAAACACAAGATAATACTTTCTTCTCTATATTAAAAAGAATCTATATTCCCAATAAAACACTATAAAAATTAGTTTACCATAGAAAAAGATTTATTTTTATAGTTGATTATTAAATAACAAATATTAGCATGAAAAACTTGAGACTCCTTTTTTTTAAAATAATTGTGTCAAATTACTTTACAATTGTTTAGAAGAATGAATTAAATTTATAAGATAAGGGCATTTTAGGGTATTCATTAAATTTTTGTCCTTATTTTAAGGTTTGGTTACCAAAGTGTCAAATTAAGGGAGGTACGTGTAATTTTTAAAACTTCAAGAAAACTAAGTGAAATAGTCAAAAACCTCAGGGGAGGTTTCTGAAATTATCCCAAAAAGAATTATACTTAAATAACAATGGTGGGCGCAAGTGGTACATCCCTTCAATAGGTAGGACCAATTCGGAAGCCCAAACACCAAATGAACAGCATTACCAGTCCATCAACACTTCAACTTCATCCCCAAATACTGTTGTGATATTCACAATTTCGAGACATGCCAAAATAGAGAAAAGGACAATGTGGGAGCATACATGATTAAACGAAATAATCTACATATTTCTTAGGATGACTATTACCAGAGAGACAAACACAGTTCTCTAATTAACAAACAATGGATTGGACAAACTCTTTGACAAGCTCACACAGAGCATAAACTCTAGGAAGCTCAAATGTGTCAGCGCCGTGATAACCTCCTTCAGCAAACTTAGCCACCAAAGCCACACCCTTCTCTTGCAACGCTTCCACAAAATTAATTTGATGATCCAACAAAGAATCACCCTCATATCCAGTCACCAAAATCTTCCATCCCAAAGCCCTAATCTGATCAAATCGGTCTGATTTGATGCTCAATAATGGATTACAGAACTCATGGTTACGGTCAACGCCAACCGGCAATGATAGCTCCCACATGACATCAGTCACGCAGGGTGGTAAAATCTTGTCATTATCAGCCCTCAACTCTGATTCTGTCCTTTTAGTGCCACCAAAAAATGGTTGGTGCAAAATCAGCCCTTTGATCTCCAAAGGCTTAAGATCATCAACACATGAAGATGCACTCAGACCGACATGATAGGCAATGTTTCCTCCTGCACTACTCCCCATGAGGAAACTGTTTGATAAATCAGCATATTTTGTCAACCATTCATCTTGGGGGCTCTTGATCCATTGCATAACTTCCATACAATCTTCATAAGCTGCCGGCAGCCTATGCTCTGGAGCTAGACGATACTCGATGGATACCATCACAACTGGGATATCAACAGTAAAACTGTTGTATAAACTCTCGAAGTAAGGCGTGGCTGCGCTGCAAATGACGAAGCCTCCACCATGAATGAAAATCAGGAGGGGAAGTTTCGTGCCTGGAGAGGATTCAATTGCTTTCCGGGGTAGGAAAATACGAACAAAAGTGTTTTTAGATGGGTTTACTGGGATGTCCTTAACAAGGAGAACTGGACTCTTATCGAATGATGAGACGGGGGTTTTTGGCATATCAAGAATACGTGCGACTGAGCCATCTGGGTTCCTGACGAAGCCAAGAAAACCATAGGGATCGGTCTGAGGATTCCCAGGTGGAAATTCGGTAATCTTATCGGCCATGTTTTGGTCCCAACTGCCAAGAAATTGAAATTGTTTCCGCTTGGCCTTTGCTTGGATTTATCAACTAGTTGTGGGCATTTAATACTGCAGAGACTTGGAAGAGTACAAGAATAAAATTGTGGCCGGCCGAATTCAGGAGATTCCTGTGTTCGTAAATGACCATTTAATGTTGTATGATGTTAGGTGAGATTTTAGAAATCTATTTATAAATGCAAAACTGTTTTCCCTTCATTTGCTTGGTATTATAGAGCTGTTAAACGAACCGAACTGTTCGTTAGCTCGGTTCGTTTCGGCTCGTTCGTGTTCGTGAAAAGCTCGTTCGAAATTTTAAACGAACCGAGTTCGAACGAATTTTTTTGTTCGATTAATAATCGAGCGAACACGAACATGTTCGCGAGTTTTAACGAACGTTCGCGAGCATGCTAAACGAACGTTCGCGAACACGAGTATGTTCGCGAGTTTTAACGAACGTTCGTGAACATAGACATAATTATCATTTGACAAATTTTAGGGTTAATTTTATGGCTGGACTTTTACATTTGGAGGGCAAATTTCTTTGTTTTATTTGTTGTTTTTATGTTAATGTTAGTTATATAGTTAATGAATAATAGAATTTAGTCACTTAGTACTTTTATTATTTTTAAGAATGATTAATAATTTGCATGGCATATTTAAAGCATAAAATAATTTGGATTCGAGCATTTCGAACATGTTCGCGAACGGTTCGTTTATGTTAAACTAGCCGAACACGAACTCGAACTCGAACACGAATTTTACTTAACGAACTGAACACGAACACAAGTTTGGAGTTCGAAAATTAACGAACGAACACGAACGTTGTTCGAACTGCTTAACGAACAGAACTCAAACATGAGATACTCGGTTCGATTCGGTTCGTTTACAGCTCTACTTGGTAAGAAGAGAAAATGGCATGAAAAACTATGTATGGCATGTCTCGTTGATTGGCTAAATCCGTTAAACTGGTTGAACAAATGCAAAATGCTCTCGTCTCCTCGGGTAGACATGACCATGGCTGCAGAACCGTCAATTCTAAAATAAAAACCGACACTTTCAATTCTTCTGAAAGGTGTATGGCATCTGAATCGGTCCTTATTTTTCGGAAAGGTGGATGATTACAGTAACAATTTTGAATCTTTCGTTTCGGTCCGATTTCGGTTTCAATTTTATTCTAATTGCAGTTTCGATTTCTTTCAGTTGCAATTTCGATTCTTTTAATTATGATTAAACACTTATTATTATAAAATTGATTATAAGAAAGTATGATAATGAATGTAAAAAAAAATAAGAATTTTTATTGTATTATCATGTGCAAGAAAAAAGAAAAAATGACGCAAATTTTATAAAAGAATACCTTATTGGTGATTATTATGGATTGGTCTTAAACTTAGATTAATCATGGAGCTTAGACTAACCAATTAGATGGGACAATGGGTTGCTAGATTAGAATTTGAACTGTTGGTATTAGGTGTTAACTATTGATATTAAACGTTAAATTGGTCAAATAGATTTAGGTAACAAGTGTTGTTTTAGATTATTTGAACTAATCCTAAACCGTCGGCTCCGATTTGGATTCAAATTTGTTGAATCTAAACATGAACCTTTAATCATAATTATGGTTACGTTTCTAATTTGGATTCCAATTCAACAAATCACCGATTCAATTTTCTGGTTCAAACCTAAACTGTGGCATCCCTATCCCCGATACATTAACATTGTTGACATTGAAAGGGCTTTGGACCTACCGAATGAACATTTCAAGGCTGAAGTATAAAACTACAAACCATGGTACAGTTCACGGGGACGTA